CTACTACTGTTTGCTGATTTATTGCTGAATTCAACTGTTCTACTGTTTGAGCGTATTGCTGAATATCCAGCGTTTGTTCCTCTGGAGAGAGGCACCGGAGGAGGAGAAGATATCTTTATCGGCTGATAAAGATATTGTAAGGACTCTTAACTTGGACTATAATAGTGAGTCTTACTGGATGGAAATACTGTGAATGACTTAATGGACTGAATGACAATGCTTTAAACTCTAAATGGATTAAAAACTATTTAAACTACAAACAGTGTTTGTGTTCAGTGTGTGTATACTCTGGGGCCCTTCCACTCTTCTTTGGCTGCCTGGATTGACTACTGCTGCAATACTCTGCTAGGGGTTAATCCCCAAACACTAACACTTGGCAATTTTAAAACCTGTGGACTTCAACTCCCAGAATTCCCTTTCAGACGTGTTTATTTAAGCTCCCAGAATTCCCTTTGAGACGAGTTTTCAGCTCCCAGAATTCTCTTTAAGATGTTTTTATTTCAACTCCCAGAATTCCCTTTGAGATATGTAGACTTCAACTCCCAGAATTTCCTTTAAGATGTGTTTATTTCAACTCCCAGAATTCCCTTTGAGTCGTGTTTATTTCAATGCCCAGAATTCCCTTCCAGACATGTTTATTTCAACTCCCAGAATTCTCTTCAAGACATGTAGACTTCAATTCCCAGAATTCCGTTCAAGACGTGTAGACTTCAACTCCCAGAGAAACCTCATTAAGACACGTGTATTTCAATTCCCAGAATTCCCCAGCCCATATCTTAAAATGGCCAAGTTTGAAAAACTAGAGGCACGGGCTAGACTAGGTGATTCACCAGAGATGGTCGGGGGAAGATTCAGTGTTAGATTTTGGGGAGCAGCTGACCTATTAAGTGGGGAGACCCCCTTATGATTCTGATTCGCACAATTTCTAGGCTCCAGTAGCGAAAGGAAGGATGGATCCAGTAGATTCCAATTCACTGCCTTAGTGTTCCCATCTGTAAAATGGACATATTAGTTAGGGGTATCCATAGGCTATGATGAAAGAATGTTAGGGCTGACTGAAATAATGCAAGTGAACTTCTGCCTGGAGGTTATGGTCAAGATGAGAGCCATGAGGAAAGCAAGGTGTTTTTTTCCTGCTAGTGAGGTGGCCATTTTGACTTTCTTGACCTCCTTCTGGACACCTCAAGAGTCCGACCAATGGCCATTCTTTGTTTCTGGCCAAACGGCAGTATTGTGATAAATAAAAAAATACAAAAAAATATGTTTTTGCACCAATGAATCGATGCACATTTATCTCTGCTAGCTGGGAAAAACAAGCACAGCTATTGCAAGAACAGAATTGCCCTGAGGCTAATTTGAGCTTTGGGGTTTATTTTGACCTCAAGCGATTCCCAGTAATTTATGTCTTTATTTCATTTGTTCATTTAGATTGATACAATAATCAATAATTAAAAATCTTAATCAATAATTAAAAATAATTAAAAACGACAGCAAGAATCTATATATATAAAAGCACAATACCACTCATGGATCATCACAAAATCTCCAGAACTGTAAAGCTGTAAAACTTGAAATGTGGCCCGTATGTTCCTCTTGGCTTCTAGGTGCCCACTAAGAAAGGATTTTTCAAAATGACCATCAGAGCTATTAGTATTTCCTATATTATTATTATTAACATGCTCTGATGCTAAGGAGTTCTACTCCCCAGCTCTACCAGAAAAGAAATTTGTTCCTAATGCAAAACACAAGCAGAGGAATTTCAGTTTCAGTTTCAGAGCACCAAGAAGCTTTTAGTACAGAACAGTTGAGCTAAGCCACGCCCAGGCTCCTTGCTGTCTCCTTCTTGCTCACACAGCAAATACTGTTTCAGTTTCCAAACAGCCTTCAACTCTCTCACACACTGACAGGACGCTAGCCAGATGAATACCGATGGATGCTGGTAGGCAGAGGTATAAGCCCCCCCCTTATTTTCCTCCCAAAAAACTAAGCCCAATCACATAGTTTCGTAGCAAGCACGAGTATCGAGCTAGTACAGAATACAGAATAACAGAGTTGGGAGGGGCCTTGTAGGTCATCTAGCCCAACCCCCTTACTCAATCAGGAGACCTGATACTTTTTCAGACAAGTAGCTGTCCCGAAACAAGGGTCCTTTCTCCGTTGATGTTTACTGTTTTGCTTGAGTTGTTTAGTTTTAACTGCGTTTGCTTGTAATTGCATGTAATCACCTGGGACCTGGTGCTCATTAAGGAAGTGTGTAAACACAATAAGAGTGGAGCTAACAGGTTGTGCATTTAGATCACGGCTTGGCAATGCCTGAGCTTGTGTGACGGTTGAGGGCAGAGGAGAATAATTGCAAATAAAGAATTATACTTAATGTTAAGCCTGAATTCCCCAACAAGTGTTAAGGAAAACAAACTAAACAGAATGTGTAGCGTAGTCAGATAGGCAGACAGGTAAATGTGTGAGATAAGTTTGTATTTTAGTTAACACGCAGTAAAAAACAGATACGCTTGTGCTATCAAAAATATAGTTTATTCCATTAGGAATTATAGCATAGTCAAAATAAACGGTCCATTAGTCATGTATCATTTCAGTCAGTCCAGTCGAGGATACTCAATTTGCAAAGTCCGTGTTGAATAGCAAATGTCAGTTCACTTACAATAAATCACTCCGTATTATCTCTTCTCTCCGTTGAGAAATCAACACTCCTTTCTCTCCTCCGTTCCAGTAAGGAAAAACGCAGTCATCAGTCCATCCAGTAATTAGGGATCATTAAGCCAGAGAGAGAGAGCTGCAATTGACTTGCTTCTTTTATGGTGCTTTTACAACCACACCCTTAATTACATTCTTGTAGTTAAAGTTACACACACTTTAACCAACAAACCATGATAACTTATTTATTATTTTTACCCAAACCAGTTAGGGTAAACAATGTTATCCCTAACATTCTCCCCTTTTGGGTAACAATAATAATATAATAATAATATAACCATTTACACCTTTAAATCATAATTGTTACAACTCTCTTTAAATTTTACTACACCTTGAGCTTTTGTAAATTGGTCTGCAATGTTTTCTTCCGTCATGCAGTACTCTAGTTTAATTAGACCATTTTTCACAGATTCTCTAACATTTAAGTATCTTAAATCAGTATGCTTTGATCTAGTCTTTACAGCAATATTAGTAGCTAACTGTATGGCTGCCTGGTTGTCCTCGTACACAATAATGGAATCTTTAACAGTTATACCCATGTCTAATAATAACTGTTTGTACAGAATTAATTCAGTGCATAGTAATGACAGACCTGAAAATTCTGCTTCCATCGTGGACAAGCTGATATGCTGTTGTCTGATTGACCTCCACCCTATTAGTGTCTTACCAAATAATATAGCCATCCCAGATGTTGATTTTCTAGTGTTTATGTCAGTTGCAAAACTTGCATCTGCATAGGCACTAAGAATCAAATCACCTTTTGGCTCTAGATACAATGCATGGTGCATTGTTCCTTTAAGATATCTTAAAATTCTCTTTAATGCTTGCCAATGACATTGATGTGGATCATTATTAAATCGTGCCAGCTGATTAACACTATAAGCAATATCTGGCCTTGACCAATTGCTTATATATGATAAACTACCAATCAAAGATTGATAGATGGTCTTATCGAATTTGGGACTTTGAGCATCAGTTTGGCAAACTTCCTGACTCATTGGAGTCTTTGCCGGCTTACAAAGTTCCATTTTATACAACTTAATTAATTAAATTTTATCTTCTTGAGATATCTTAAATCCATTTGTGGTTTTGTTAATTGTCAATCCTAGATACTTTTTAATTTCACCTAAATGCTTTAATTTTATCTTTTTGGCTAATAATGAAATAATCTCAGTAGCTTCATTATTGGTCTTAGTAATCAAAGCAATATCATCTGTAAATAATAACAATAATGACACCGTTCCATTATTTTCTCTTTTAAACATACATGGATCTGCTAAACCAGATTTAAACCCTATATTGTTTAATTCTTTTACAATATATTGGTTCCATTCATAGCCAGATTGTTTCAATCCATATAGACTCTTTTTGAGTTTCCAACAATCATTGCTATTTGCTTTATTATCATTTATACCAACTGGTTTTTTCAAATATATTGTATGCTGCAATGGTGCATGTAGATAGGCAGTTTCTAAGTCTAAATGGTTAACGATATAATTCTTCTTAGCTGCCCACACTAAAGCTGCTCTTAAAGTTGTAGCCTTTAAATTTGGTGCAAATACCTCATCATAATCAAATGCATTTTGATTAAATCCTTGAGCTACTAACCTAGCCTTATAAGTAACTGTCCCATTATTTCCAGTCTTTACTTTGAATATCCATTTGCACCCAATGAATTTTTCTCCTGGAGGTAATTTTGTATCTTCATATACTTTCATTTCCTTTAATGAATTTAACTCTTTTTCCATTGCCTTTTGCCAATTCTCCTGATCCTTTACAGGATACATCCTAAGTTCATCTATACTAGTAGGAACTTTATTTACTTGGCAAACTATACTTGCCTGATACCTTTCAGGTGGTCTGGTTACACGTGTTGTGCGTCTAGGTATTACAGGACTTACAGGTGGACTTTCCTTTATTTCCTGTTCTTGATTATCTATCTCTTCTTGATCAATTATTTCCTCTTGTTCTGGTTCTATTTGCTCTTCCTGGACTTCTTCTTTAATTGGACTTTTCTTATAACTAGTCTTTTCTTTCTGCCTCTTGTAGGGTTCTATAATTACATCATTATCTGAATCTTGCTCTAATCTATTCCATCCTATATGTTCTAGGAATTGTGCACTAGCACTGCAGTATACTCTAGATGTACCTGATTCCCAGAATCTATAAGATCTATGGTTTGATTGATATCCAACAAAAAATAATCTTTTAGCTCTATGCTGTCTTTTGTTTCTGAGTTGTGTAGGGATATGCACCCATGCTGGTGCACCAAATGTGTGAATGTAACTTAAATCAGGTTTCCTACCATGCCACAGTGTGAATGGTAATTCACCTGTTGTTGAATTAACAACATTATTTAATATGTGATTACCACACATTATAGCTTCTCCCCACAAATTGTCAGGTAATCCTGAATCAGACAACATAGTCCGTCCCATTGATTGCAGTGTTTGGCCTCGTCTCTCTATAAAGGCATTATGTTGAGGCCTATATGGTGCAGACTTTTTATGTTGAATACCTGCCATCCTAAGTCTACTCTGGAATTTATTATTTGTAAATTCCGCACCATTATCTGTTATAAGAGTTACTAATTTCTTTTTAGTTTTCCTCTCTGCAAATTTTAACCAATTAAAGAAATTTAGATACGTTTCAGTTTTTCTCTTCATTAGAAAACAGAAACCATACCTAGAATAGTGGTCCATTATGCTTAATATGTATCTAGCACCACCTACACTTGGTTTTTTAGGACCTATTATATCGGCAAATACTACCTCTAAAGGCTCTTTGGTAGTAAATCCATCAACTCTATTTGCCGGTATGACTTTGCTTTTGCTTTGATTGCAAGCAGAACATTGCAAATACTTATTACAAGGTTTCAAACTTATTCCTTTAGATAGTTGAACAGTTCTCTTAATAATTTTAAAATTTAAATGACCTAGCCGTCGGTGTAACAAGTGAATACATTCATCATGAGGTTTCTTATTATCATAAACCGTGTTAGCCACCTCTAAACCATTATCATTTAACACATACAATTCACCTCTTAAAGATGCAGTAATTTTCTTACCTTCTTTTTCAATTAAGCAAGTATCTCCCCTAAAGGTAACTACGTATCCTAATCTAACCAACATTCTAACTGAAAGCAAATTAAATTTAAGTTGAGGTACATATAACATTTTTACATTCTCTTTTATACAAGAACAATATGCAATACCTTCACCTTTTGCTTTCATTCTCCAGCCGTTTGCCAATGAGATATGCTGTGAACTCATGGACATTTTTACAAAATTTTTGTTATCATTTGTTATACAGTGGGATGCTCCACTGTCAACCACCCATAAATTATTTTTTACAACTCCATTACTATACATGGCTAACTCAAAATTTTTATCTTTTCTTTGACGACTTCCAGTATTCTGAGTTGCATTCTGGTGCTTTGCCTTCTTACAAAATCTTGCTAAATGTCCTCTTCCTCCACAATTAAAACACTTTTTAATTGCATATGCAGTAGGTTCATTATCTTCCTTTTGAGGTTGCTCCCTCCTTAACTGATCTCTTTCAAGCCTTCTTCTGGCCTCTTCAATCAATCTGCCAGTGATATCAGTTAAAGTTAGGCTTTCTTTAGGTAAAATTTCAAGGGAAGTTACGTAGTCATCAAAACTTTCGTCTAATGAAGATAGAATTATGTAGACCTGGTGTAGTTCAGAGAAAATAAGCTCCTTCTCGTGCAGTTCTTGAAAAATTCTTTTCATAGTATTCAAATGACTCAGCATGTCACCATTCTTTTGGAAATGCGTCCGGAAAAGCTTCCGTGTTAGATTTATGTGAGCACCAACGTTATCTCGGACATAAATCCTCTTCAGTTTTTGCCAACACCCAACAGCTGTTTGCTCTCCGCGTATATGAACAAGTTGCTGATCAGATAGTGTTAGTCCTATGATGCAAAGAGCTTGTTCATTTTTCTGTTTAAAGTCTTCTATCTTTTGACTATCTTCCTCATTTTCAGTATCCCATTCCTCTACGTTTGGTGGGTTTTCAATTATGTTCCACAGACCTTCTCTTCGTAGAAGTAGACTACATTTCATAGACCATGAAACATCCAGCTTGGATATAAGGGACAAACTTTGTAGACTGACTTGTGCCATGTTTCAGTATATGGATATAAAACTATAATTAATAAAAACACAGCTGTCTGTTTACTGTAACGTGTAACAACACAAAATCTCACTTTTTACATAAACCTGTTTTTTATCCTAGTTAAACTGACTTTGCAGTCTCTGGGCCCATAACCAGTGTTAAGCCTGAATTCCCCAACAAGTGTTAAGGAAAACAAACTAAAC